ATATATATGTGTGTGTGTATGCACATATACAGATATGTATGTATGTATGTATGTATGTATGTATGTATGTATGTATGTATGTATGTATGTATGTATAGCTGTGCAGATGTATATGTGCATATCGGCATATGTGTATTTGTACCCGTGTATGTGTATAGGTTTATGTATATGCCTCTTAGCTTCTAAACTACAACAATCACTTCTGGGCTCTCGCAGTAAGCTGCCAGGTAGAAGCCGTACTACTGAATGTTGGGTCGGTATCCGGTCATAGTGGGTGTTGTTCCCATTATTTGCATGATGATGACTACAAGTATCGCAATGATCATCATTGTTGTCTTTCTGGTTGCGAGTGTCATCAATGTTACCATTATGATCAGCAGTGTTATTCGTAATGCGAGGGTGGCCAGGACTAGCATGAGTACGAATCTTCATTCTTAGAGTTTGTGGCCGGGGTCCAAGCTTAACTTAAAAAAGCAACATCCAGAATCCCGGGCACTACAACAATCGGTATAATCCCAAATCCGATACCCCGAACTTCCCAGCTGTACATACCCAAACTGAAGCTTCCCAAAACCTAACCGCCACCACTCCCCAATTTCCTGCGGCCTAGATGTACGACCCCAAAATCCTGAAGCCCTGATGCCCCAAGCCCTAGATCCCTTAAGCTGCCTTAAACAAAGCCCTCAATCCCTCAACCCCACGCTAAACCCAACGCCCTAAACCCTAAACCCCTCAATCCCTCAACCCCAAACCTCTAAACCCTAACCCCTAAACCCTAAACCCCCCAAGCTCCCGTCCGAAGGCCTCCCTGGGCGCGAGGCCTCCCACCGAGGCAAAGGATGCGCTGAGGTCGGGATGCCGGGGAAACCCAAGGGTTTAGGGGTTTAGGGGTTTAGGGTTTAGGGGTTTAGGGTTTAGGGTCTAATTAGGGGGCAAAAACAAGCATCAAGTAGAACTGTATGAGCTTACGTACAAATAAAATCCAGGGACAAAGTACATAGAGTAGAAAGAGCCTATGTCGATTCTTAAGTGTCACTGATTACATATCTACGTACATACATAATATATATATATATATACATACACACATGTACGTATAAATATAAATATAAATAAATATATATATATATATGTATATATATATATATGTATATATATTTACAGAAAGCGTCGGACTGCAGGCCCGAGTTTTGAAGCTTTCTGTTTTTCCATACTATAGGCTAGGATGTTACAAGAGTCTGTTTGTTTCTATGCATACTCTCTCTACATATATATGTATGAGTGTAAGAGAGAATGTATACACACATACGTACACATAAAGGCCAGAACTTCTGAACTAGTGCAGCTGTGAGTAGATAGGTTTGTCAAGTTGAGATTTCAATGTAGGCCCCGGGTGAGAAAAACGACGTAACGTGAAGGCCCTGAGTCGCAACTCCCTTATAGGCCTTATATCCCTGTAGGAAAATACAGCCCGGAAATTTGCTTAACAGAGGAGGTTGCATTAATCATAGGCCTGCATGAACGCCGAGCAATATCGATTTTTTGGTGGGGGTTTCCAGGCTCACGATGGGATGCTTCACTAAGGCTATAGCTGCATATATATATACACACACACCTATATACCTACAGAAAGTGTCGCAATACAGGCCCTAGTTTTGAACTTGTGTAGTATGTATATATATATATATACACATACATATATACATACGTTGTATATATTTATATATATATACACACACACCTATACATGCGTATACATAGATAGGGGTGTAAAGTACATCCTAACACTATTCGTAAGAGCTCCTTAGCTACAGTCACAGTATGCACCAACAGCGTATTCTAATCATCTCGCCCCCATAGTCCAGGTGCTTCGTCTACTGGTCCGCTAAATGGAATAAAGGGGGCTTCGCTGCTTTGTCGGGTTCATAGTTCATACAGAGTTTCTGCGGCTTGATGGGTTGAGGGTGCGTCCGAAGCCCTAAATTCGATTCTGAGCCTTTGCGGCTCTCTGCCAGGCCCACAGCTGGCCGGCAGCTGATGATGCGCACACAATCTTCTAAAAGGTAGCACTCGGCATGTCGGATGCATACTCTCGTTTGCTAGTTGCCACGGGTGGTTCTGGAAAACGCAAGACCCTGAATACAGACCCTGAGCTTTCACGAAGCACTATCAACATCTAACCCTCAAGTCCCAAACGCAAAATCTTGAAACCTGCATACAGATCTCGATACCCCAAAACTGCAAACCACAGCCGAACCATTACTCCCCCCCCAGCTTTAGCATGTGTAGTCGCCGCTTCGGGCGCAGTTGACACTTGCCCTCATCTCCAAAGTGGGATGGCGCCCTTGCGATGCTTCCAGCAAGCCTACAGCGAAGCCCTCGGCCCCAAACCCTAGGGTTTAGGGTTTAGGGTTTAGGGTGTAGGGTTTAGGGTTTAGGGTTTAGGGTTTACACCCCGAAACTCGAAACACAAACCCTGCACCCCAAAGCCCGAAACCCCTAGACTTCCCAACCCCCAAGCTCTTAAAGCCCCTACATGACTAGATCCCTAAGCCCCCAAAAGCTCTGAAAGCCCAAAAGCCCCTGAACCCTTGAGCTCCAGCTGGGCTTCCAGGTGCGTGTGCCCCCGAGGCCCGAAAAAAGCCTGCCGAGAGTGCTGTGGACCAACCTACTATAATCTACTCTTGGCAGGGCTTTTTGTGGATGAACCTAGAATACATAACCTACTTTCGGTAGGGTTCTCATAAACGGGATTTTAGTCTTTGAAGCAACACCTTGTAACCGTGTTCTGCTTGCTCGTTTGGGTGGTTCGTCTTCGTCTTCTCATGTTCGAGGCAGCTGTGGCTATTGAGATTGCTCAGTATAGTATCGTCGCTTTACCGTCTGTGGTTAGCACGATGATTGCTGGCAGCAATGCTGCATTTGTAGCGGATATGCCGGTAACGTGAAGATCATCCCCCTTGTGAAGGCTTCCACCGCTTGTCTGACTCTTGTCGCGCTTCTGTTGTGACCTGCGTTCTGCAGCAATACTGGTGCACCATGGTATTGATGCAGACGCTGGTTGCGGTTGTATTGCCATGACTTCTAGTTATTTCGAGTGTTTCCGCTGCCGTCGTTCGAAACTTTCTCCTCGAATCTTGAAACATTCGTACCATGTCGTATCCTCATTTCGCAAAGTGTTTGTCGGCTGCGACTCATCGCTTTCAACCTGCTTCTTCTATCGATACTCCTAGCACTGTCACGATCGCCATCTCTCTTCCGAGGAATGCCGGCCATGGAAGCTATCATCACCACGATTTCCTGTGTTGGCTGGCAATGTTTTCTTGATTGCAATCTCTTTTGTATTTTGAGGTTGCCAGTGTGCCTACGAAAGTTACGCACATGACTAATGGCTCTTATGAAGACTGTAAGATCATTTGTGCACATTGCTCCAACTTCTGCTGCCTGCCTTGCCCACACTTGCAACGACTTGAAGTCATAAATGCTGGCATGGCGTTTTAGTCGTAGCTGCATTTTGTGTTTGCTGTCACCGCTCTGGCCCGCATCTTGAGGCTTCTTCCCGTTTGTTCCCATAGCTATGGTTGTTCTCAGTGTCAGTGTTGTGGCAATTATAATCCTTATTCGCTGCTTGATCTGACGTGGTTCTTCCATGGACACCTATTTATGCCGGATGCCTTCTGCAATCAGCTCTTCGACATGATGTTAGCGACCCTGCAACAGGAAGAAGGCTTCTTCAGAAGAGACCCCGCTCTTAAGAGCGACCGTCCCTGAACTGCTCTGACCGAGAGCCTAAGTCACCAAGCGACCAAGTACCCTATGAACCGATAGGGCCAGTGCAGAAAGCCCGATCCTCCCATCTCTCGAAGCAAAGTCGCGAATTCAAAGCTTTGGCTTTTGCATTCGGGTCCAAAGGTTGAATGTGCCGGAAGCCCCAGACCTACCCAAAGGAGCGGATAAGGCTCTTGTGGATGACCGGCGCGGTTCGTATCAGCACCCTTATGCACTGCTAATGGACCCGTAGCTTCCTGTGGAGCCATGGGCCCAGCGCTCCCAGAGACACCCAGGGAGGCCAGTAGTGGACCGGGCTGAGTAGGGGTTTCGGTTTGAGGAGGAGGCTTCGGTGGGTTGGGTTTAGGGTTGGGCTTGAGGTTAGGCCTAAAGGGTGTAGGGTTCAGAGTTTCGGCTTGGGGTTGCAAGGGTCGGCAGAGGAGTAGGGATTGGGCTTAAGGAGCAGGGTTTGTTGTTTGCAGGAGGGTTTATAAGGCCTGAGAAGGGCCGGGTTCAGGGTTGGGCTTGAAGGCTGGGGTTTGGGCTTAAGTTTAGGTGGGATTTGATGCCGGGTTTCGAACGAATTCACCCTAAACCCTAAACCCTAAACCCTAAGGCGTTTCCAGGGGTTTCAGCTTTTCCGCTTCGTCCAGTCGACGGGAGGGCTACTTCCTTGATCTTCGACTTGGAGAAGTGACTCAGGAGCTGTCAGTGCTGCGACTAACTTAGGGGCCTCAAGAATTACCAACACTATTTTGGGAGGTTCCGTGTTATACCTTGTTGTAGGTATGGTTTCTTGTTATATTTATGGTATAATTAACCCCAAAATCCTATTCTAATTGACTTCCTTGTTATAGTAGATAATGAACCCCAAAACCCTATTCTAATTTTTAAGGCCCCTACATTAAGACTCGGGGAGCAAGGCTCGTTGCCTGGAAAGCCCTGGTCCTGATGCCCAATCTGCTAGGAAAGCCCGACGTCGGAGCTGTACAAGGCACGCTGCTGTTTAGGGTTTAGGGTTTAGGGCTTTGGGTTTAGGGTTTAGGGTTTAGGGTTTAGGGGTTTAGGGTTTAGGGTTTAGGGTTTAGGGTTTAGGGTTGATGAACCCACGTGGAAGCGAGCATGTGATAAGCGCAGGGCTAGAAATTCGAAGCCTTCGGACCAAGTCCCAACCCTTTCATCCCTAAACCCAAAACCCTAAA